CAGCTGAGGTAGAGGTGAAAGCAGGTCTATAGACAAAGCCACCAGGGGTGGCCCCACCTCAACCCCAGACTGCAGACTCAGACTGTCTGGGTTCAAACTTGGCTCTGCTACTTGCTAGCAGAGTCATCTCAAACAAGTTAAGTGTGCTTCTCCATGTAAAACTGCATCTCCCTCGAGAGAGCTGGAGGAGTAAATGAGTAAACGCATATAAAGAATTTAGCACAAGTTCCAGTAAATATTAAGTGTTATCTCTTACTTTTCTTTCCAGGCCCTCTCTATGCACCCATAGTGTGCAAGGTGAGCCGGAAAACGGAAGCCAGAGCAGGGAGAGTCTGGGAGTGGAGCTAGACAGTCTGGTTATTTCGCTAATTATCATGTAGCCTTGTCAAGTTATCTAATACCTCAGTGAAGATATGATCTCTGCCTTCACAGGGTTGCTGAGGGGTCAAAAAGACTCAGTGAAATCAGGTGAACAGAAGGGTTGAGCACACAGTGAGGCTTGTGAAGGCTGACTGACTTGAATGCACAACCCCACCTTAGACCTCACCAGTACTAGAACATCCCTCAGTCCTAGACCCTGAATGCCAAAATCTCCCGGCAACAAATCCTCCTGTCCCCCTGCGCTGGTCTTCCCACCCTGGCCTTCCCGACTTAGCCTGGACGCAGAGCCAGCCATCTCATACAAGTTCAGGCAGCCTGAGCTGCAAGATCATTCAGGTCAGCCCTTTCTTTGTATGCCCGGGAAACTGAGGCCTACAGATGTTCTCATCAGCTTCCTGGAAAACTTGGTACCTTCCATCATGGTTGTTAAGCTTCAGGCAAAGTCAATGTCTACTAGGTTGCCAGGCACTGGATAGAAACTCCCAGAAAGGGACTGACTAGCTCCACTAGCCCTGCCCTGTGGCATCCCAGCTTAGGGCCTGATTACTGCTCCAAGATATGACTGTCCAGCTGCTGGTGCCTCCCCACCTCACTTCCTACAGCATGAGTTTCAGGTCTCCCCTTATTTTTTCTTCTAAACCCTCACCCAAGGATATGTTTTTTATTAATTTTAGATAGAGGAAGGGAGAGGAATATAGAGAAACACCGATGTGAGAGACAAACATTGATGGGTTGCCTCCGGCATGCGCCCCACCTGGGAATCAAACCTGAAATCTGGGTACATGCCCTGACCAGGAATCAAATCTGCGACCCTTCAGTGCACAGAACGACGCTCCAACTAACTGAGCCGCACGGGCCAGGGCCCCTCATATCTTTTCACTGTGAGGTCCTTCGACCCTTCAGGATTGCTCTGAGGAGGCCTCACCCTTCCCTCCGTCTGTCCTTCCACTTCTCTCATGCTCTTGATCCTCCCCTTTCATTTCTCAACTTGTCCTGTCCCCAGGGCCCCTGCAGCACCCGAGTGCTGCTCACCTCGTCAACACAATGCTCCCTGGCTCCCTGGCAGCTGCTCTCTCCTGGGACCGCCTCTCCCTGTTGCTCCATCTCACTCTACGGCTAAGGGTGTGCCGGCAGCAACCTCCTCTACATGTCCCACTTTCCCACAGTGACTTCAGCCAGACACAGCTCCAGTGAGCTCCATCACACTGAGACGAGGTTTTTAGCTAGAACCTGAAGCTCGCTCTCCTAAGTTCCAGGCTGACAGCTTCTTTGGAACAACCCAACCCACCAGCAACAACCCACCGGCACCTCGCACTCTCCCCATCTCTTCCCATCCGTGTTCCTCGGCCTTGCTTTCTTCCCAGTCACACAGGCTTGGATTCTGAACACCCATTTCTCCTTAGCATCCCTCTCTCACGCAAGGTTTGGTAGCTCCCTCCAATGACCTCCTCCTCCAGGCTGCCTTTACCTCAGGCTCTCAGAGCTCCCCACCTACTCAGCGCAACTGTCTCCCACCTAGTTTCTGCCTTGAGTCTCTCTTTCCTCTTATTGATACTTCATATTGCTCTCTCTTAAGAAAAATACCCTTATCTTCTTCCTGCCATCTAAAACCTCAATGGTTTTTCTAACTACAGAATAAAGTGAACATCCCAGCCTGGCAGGGCAGGATTTCCACAATCTGGCCCCGTTCTACTTTCCAAACTTAATCCTCTCTATGCTCAAATTACCACCTCCACAGCCTCCAAATCTTGCCACATTCAATCTCTTCCTCCAGACCTCTTACAACTTCCAGCCTCCATGTCTTTCTTCCAGTACTCTCTTCTCCAAGTCTCCTACTCTCCTCCAAAGTACAGTTCCAATGCTGTCTCCCTGAACTCTTTCCTCACTGAGATCTACCATTATTTTTATGTCCTTGCTACAGCACTTGTAATTTAAGTTCAGGAGATTGTCCTCCATGCCCCTCACCCTGAGGACTTCCCTCTACCTCACCAGACTGTGAATCCATGGAAGGCAGGGACTGGATTTTTCATGTCTCTCCTTAAGCCCTCAGCATCTGACAGGGTGCTTAATTTTTGTTTAATTACAGTTATTGTTTTATGGCTTACAATATTACCTTTTCTGTAATCTATCTCCCTCACTAGATCATATGCTCCTTGAGGCAAAGGCTCATGTTTTACCAATCCTGCTATACCACTTAGCACCAAGCAGAGGACTTTGCAAACAAAACAAAAACATTGGCTGCATTAAATGAACACCAGGAATGAGTTCAAACCTCACATACTGAGTGTGGACAATACTACCTAGTATTTTTCTAACCAAGATTTCCCTATCCTAGGCCAAAATTAACCCCAGGTCCTTGTCAGCCCAGTGCAGGGCCATGGACACAAGATGTTTACAGAGAAGCACGAGGCATATGCTATTTCCAGAATATCATAAATATTACAAATATGCAGTAGGTGACTCTCGCCTGAGCAAATTCCAGTGCTAGAGCCTCAGGAAGGACATCCCTCAAAGCCCCTGAACTGCTGACAGGAAGATCTCCACAAGCTATATTGTTACCATCCATTCTTGGCTGCCTGCTCCTGAACCGCAGAGGCATCAGAGTCAGATAGAACTATGACTACCCCACCCCGCTCTCCTCTCATACAGCATGATTTATTTCACAGGGAAGCTCCTCGAGGGGGTTACCGCAGGAGTCCTGGCAAATGCAGGCATTCCAGGCCACCTCTTCTGCTAGTGTTCCCCTTTCTAAATTTCATAATGTGGGCAAGGATGATTAGGAGGCTGACTGCTGCTCTCGTTTCATTTTATTCCTTTAGTGAATATTTAGAGTCACAGAACTTTCCAATTTCTAGCTGGGTAATATTGGGCAAGTTCCTTGCCACTAAGATATGCCTTCACCTATACAACAAAGTTAATGATCTCTGCTCTGCCTCCCTGATAGGGCATGCTCAAATGAGAAAATGCATTCCAAGACTTTCTAAACTGAAAAGCCCTACGGGTATTACTGTTATTCTTATTATCCGTCCCAACCCCTTAGTTTTCTAGGTAAGTAAACACAAGCTCAGAAAAATCACATGGCAGCAGTCAGGATAACTCAGGTCTTCTGATTCTGAGAACCTGTTATATGCCAGACTGTTTAATAAGTGGTAACTGCAGGCACAAACCCTGTATCTTTAACAGACTACCTATTTCTCTCTTCCAGCTTATATGAAGAAAAACTTCTTTGAAGACTTAAGTTAAAGAAAAAAGGGTTCCCAGGTACAGCGACATGCTGAGTAGTTGAGACAACCTTGCTTTTCCCTCCCTGGTTCGGAAGGCTTCATTCAGTCCTGCGCTGTATAAGAGGACAGCCTGGTGCTGTCCAGCCGTCCACACGGCCAGCCACTGGGACTCTTGGGGGGAGGGGGCTGGGGGGTGGCTAGGGCCAGCGTCTCCAAGAGAGTTCGGTCCTGATGTCACAAATCAATGAAGAGGCTCCAGGAGGGAGTGAGAACCCCGGTCTCTGGACAGACAGTCCAAGGTGCTAGTGTGGAGCCCTGGGGTGGGGTAGGGTGGGGG